TCGCCGCGGGGTGGTCGGCAGTAGCGCGGGCGAACCAGCGTTAGCGGAAACGGACCCGCCGTCGGGGGCGGTAGCGGCCGCCGTCGCCGCCGCCAGCAAGGGCGTACGACGCGACGCACCGATGGCGGAGGAGGGGCGCTCCGTACTTCCTCTGTGAGTCTGCAGCGACGGCGATGCATCGAGCCCTTGTGGCGAAGCCGCCGTCGCGGCAGCGGTCGGAGCGATGGAAGCTGCGCGTGCACGGTCCAGGCTGTCGTACAACTGTAGCCCGTCGCCGGAGGGTGGCCTCGCCGCCGCCGTCGGTCCTGCCGGCGCCAGCTGGCGGATACCGGCGGCCGCCTCTGCAGGCGCACTCGCGCCGTACGACACAGGAGGATGCTCGTCCCGCACATCCTGATCCTGCTCATACTGCTCGTCCCGCTGCTTCTCTTGGTCTCGGAGCTCCGTGTAGCGACGCAAAAAAGCGTCGGCGGCGGCGTCCACGTCCTCCGCAGTCGTCATCATACGGCCATAAATCCTCTGTACGGCAAAATGTACGGCAAAATCCACGCCAACACTTTACGCGCCAATCAGAAGCAGAAACCCAGAAGCCATCCTACCATAAATTGCTCCGCGGAGGATCTTCGTGCGTCATAATAATGATAATAATAAGGCCCCAGAACGGACCTTCCAAAGAGAACTAATGGACCCACCATCACCATCACCATCCTTCCTGGACCTGGACCCGCCATCTTTGGACCCACCATCACCCTTCCCGCACTCACCCTTGGCTTCTTGAAGGTAGTGTTCACCAAGTCCATGATCCAGTCCGACGCCACGCCGTGGCGCTGCGGGTCGTAGCAGTAGCCCAGCCCGGAGGTGAACCATGGGACGGCGCCGGTCCGGTCACCCGAGTACATCATCCGACCGCGGGATAGCACCACTACCTGCGCATCCACGTGCGTGCGTGCGTGTGTATGTATGTGTATGTATGTGTGTGTATGTGTGTATGTGTGTGTATGTGTGTGTATGTGTGTGTATGTGTGTGTATGTGTGTGTGCGTGTGCTTGGGGGAGGAGGGTTTGGTGGTAATAACTTTTATTACGTTCGTTGTGCCTCTGAAATGATACATGTATGTACAAATGGTACGTGTATGTATGTATGTATGTATGTCAGAAAGAAAAACCTCTTGGCGTGTAAGGGGTTCTTACGGTGGCGGGGAGGGCCCCGGCGATTTCGGGCGGATCATGGTACGGCAGTCCGCCAGCTCATCGGCTCTCAAGGGGACGGATTGCGGGTTTTGCGGGAATCAGGGTAAAGACCCTGTAAAGGTTTATATATACATACACATATATATATATATATATATATACACATAATATACCTGTTCAGGCTTTTTACCCCAATATTGTATATGTTATATAGAATCCCCCTTCGTCCGGGGGAGAACGGGAATCAGAAAACCCGGGACGGGGTAATCATTTGGGGGACTACTCCTGCACACCAGGTGTACGACAGTCAGCGGCTGTAGCAGCAGCAATACCCGTCGTACTTGCGTAAACATACTCCAAATGGCAGCGCGCGGCTGGTGTACGGATGCCAGTACGACATGTCCCGCATGCGCCAGCGCATGCATGTACTGCATCACGCCCAGCGCCGCCGCCGCATCCAGGCCCGACGTTGGCTCGTCCAATAGCAGCGCTGACGGCGCCGCCACGATGCCGGTGGCGATGGCGAGTCGTTTGCGTTCCCCGCCGCTCAGCCCGCGCAGAACCAGCCCGCCGGGTAGCGTGCCGCCAACCTGCCGCAAGCCACAAATCCACCCGCCGAAATCCCAATGGGGCTTTAGTTCCGGAACCATGGGTCGATCGATGACTTCATCGCTTCGGAAATCAGCAGTGCAGTGCAGTTTCGAACTTCGCACGCCCTCCCGCAGATCGTCATTGGTTACCTCCTTGCCACCATATGACTTCTTTCCCCCCCCCACTTCCCTCCCCCAAAAAAAACACCCACACCCGCTGTCGGACGCGTAGGGTACGACATGCACGGCACATGTTTTTTTTAACATGCACACCTCCTATGAAACAGTGAAAACATTTCGTAGTTTTACTGCCTGACTGCCTGACAGGCTTGGACACTAACGCCTGCGGAAATGGCCTGGCGAATAAAAACATTTTATAACTGTGAAAAACGAGAAAACTAAACTATCCCTAAACTGTCAACGGTCAACCGTCTAACGGTTGTAAGTAACTCACTAGCGTGCTGCCTTGCCGGCCCAGCCCCATGGCCGCCAGGACTTCCGTACACCTCTTCCGGCTACCCGCGGGCCCGATTGCTGGCGGCAGCACCAGGGCCGCGTGTACGGAGATCACCTCCCAGGCGGAGAGGGTCGGGATGAAGTGGTCGTCCTACCAATGACATACATACAGGGAGACGGAGGGGGAGAGGAGGAACGGAAAGAAGAGGAGGAGGACTTATCAAGTTATGGCGGCAGGGAAGGATGTATTGACGGGTAGACGCACCGCCGAATGTTCGCTTCACCTAACTCGCTCAAAAGCCCCCAAATACCACAATCCTCTAAAACCCTTAAAAACCCTTTAAAACCCTCCAAAATCCGAAACCCCCTCTAAAACCCTCGTAACCCCGCAAGCCCCGTACCTGGGGCACGTACGCGCTGCGGCGCACGAAGGCGCTATCGTCCCGCGGCTTCCCGTCGACCAGCACCTGCCCGCTCAGTCGCCCCACACTCTTCCGTGCCGCCAACACATCAAGCAGGGTGGACTTGCCTGCGCCGGAGGGCCCCAACAGGCCCAGCAGGTCGCCCGGTACCGCACGGCCGTACACACCCTGTACGGCATAAAAAGTACGACAAGAAAGAACGCGACAGCATGGATTGCGTGAGGGGAAGGGGAGATTTTTGGAAGAGGTTTGGGTAGTACGGGGTGGAGCGTGCGTTGAAGCCTCGAAAAGTACGTGCGGGTCCCTTGGCTGTGCATAGTGATACAGGTACGAAGTCGTACAGTGCCGCACTGTGCCGTACAAGTTTGAAGATTGTCGGACGGACGGATCGTGAAGGTTTCCATCACACCAGTAGCCAGTAATGGCAAAGTGATGTCAACTTTACCTGCCGACCTACCTACCTGCAACACGGTTTTGGGCCCAGTCGAGGTGTCGTACATGCAGCCAAGATCCAGCCACTCGATGCAGATTCGCCGTACATTGCTGCTGACACGGCGTACCACCCTCAGGTCCGGCGCCGCGCCCTGTGCCGCCAGCGCGCTCATAATTTCGCGCGTCTGCCGGGATACCGACCGCGGCAGCGTAAAGCTCCTGAGGTCGCTGTACGGTCGTACGGTGGCGCCGCCACCGTTCACCTTCGCCAGGTCAGCTTCCGTCACCGTGTGATGCATGGTAATGGTACGGCGCTGGACGCGTCCGGCGACGGCGGGGATGGCGGCGGGCGCAGCTGCGTCCGCCTTAGCGACACCGGTGGATGCCGCCGCCGCCGCCGTCGCTACCGGAGGTGACGGCGCCGCTGCTGACGCCAGCTCCGGTGGCACTTCGCCGCCGGCGGCGGCGCTTTTGTCCGCTGCAGGAATGCCAATCGCTGTCCATCTCCGGTGGACCAGGGCCGGCTGAGGGGATGATGAAAGGTCATCGGTTCGAAACACGGCGGCGGCGGAGCCGCCCGCGGACCCCTGAGCCATGGCGGAGTTCGGCTCCGAGGGCGGCAGAGATGGCAGCGGCGGCACCCACAGGCGGCGCCCTGGGCCACCACCGCCGCTGCCGCTGTTGCCAGCGGCTACGGCGGCGGCGGCAAAGAGGGAGACTGCCTCCGCCGCGCCAGGCCGCAGCTGCGGGGCTGGCAGCGCTGCCGTCGGGTGTGATACCGCCGCCCCCAGCCGGCCCTGCGAATAGGGACCGGACGGCGACGGAAGGGCTACTGCTGCAGGTGGCGGCTGCGGCTCGTCCCTGAGCGGGGCTGCTGCGGCTGTTGCCGGTGGCGGTGGCGACGGCTTAGCCGCCGACGCCGCTATGGGCTCGCATTCCTTGGTATCGTTCTTACAACTTGCCCACAACAAAAGGCGCCGCAGCGTTGCAGCGTGTTGAGGATGCATTTTGAGGAAGGCCAAGATTAGCCAGGAGGTCGCGAAGATGTGCGCGAAGATAACGCACGGCACCCACAGCTCCAGCCAGGCGCCTGTGGCTTGGAGAGCTTCGGGAGGAGCGGGGCTGGATTGACTGGCGCCGGCCTCGGATGACATCTTTGTCGGGTTGAGTTTTTGGAATAATGGTACCTCTTAAACAATGTTTGCCGAAGCACCGCCGGAGGGCGTCCTGCTGTTCGAGAATTTCTTAGACCGCTTTCGGTCCAGCGTTATACTGCGTTTTGTTGTTGCTGTTGTTCGCGTCGTTCCTGATGCTATTTGTCTGGACGAAAAAAGACAGAAAAGAAAAACAATTTTAGCATTAGCAAGGTCGGGCCCTGATGTTCGATGATCCGAGCTCATGGATGGATGCTAGTGCTTGTGCTAATTTTCATGGACATGAATGGATTCAGGAAGAAGATGACGTGCGCTGGAGCCGCGCAGCCTTTTAGTATGAGCTAAGTGGCTGGAAGTGCGCGAGCGCGTGCGAACTTACGAGGTCGGCTTCAACCTTGGGCGTCGAGGAACGCCGGACGAGCAATTGCTACGCAGCTCATGTACTTCGGAGCTGCAACTCGCATCTTCTGTTCCTGGAATTCATACGAGTTCATGACTTTCTCTTTGCTGCAGAAGGTGATTCGCGGAAAAAGTCGGGATGCATAAGATTGACATCCAAAGAATTTACTGGTTATCAGTCAACCCTGTGCAAAAAATGAACCATGGGTCACAAAGCTAAGCAGTTCTTTTGACTAAACGCATGCAAGAGACTCGTTATCATATTTTTGCCTTGCCATAACAAGATGATTGATAGAGGGAATGAAAGCGGCCGCAGCCAAATCGTCGGCCCTCAAAAGAGTTGTGCTGAGCACAGCCTGTTCCATCAAAAAACAGACTGTCTTCATGACGATCAGCAATCAGGCTTACATGACGGTTCAGACTGCAGGCTTTCATTCAAGGAATGACCCTCAAGCCATGAAGTACTCGTGCAATGGATTACCTCACCAGGGAGGCTTTCCTTGCTAGGCCTACAGCAGGGCCCTGCCTTGAGGTGTACTTAAGATTTACGAGCGAGTATGTTTTTTTCTCCCGCAAAGCCGTCGCTGGATTTCTACGATGTGGCACATGCGCCTGTGCACGCGCGGATTGATTAGCGTGTTCCGTGAGCGTGGGAGCTCTTGGGGCCATACATGTCTTGCGCCTTGGATAAGATTATGGCGAGCAGCTAACGTAAAAAAGCGCGATGGAGCAGAGTCCCCATCCCGCAGCTGGTTCGGGAATTTCCTATACCTTCTAACTCAGACGTCCCGATGTGGTGCCGGGCAAGAGCAGCAGGACAGCAGCCCCAGGGTGTATGTCACACCGCTGTCGCGCCTATTCGAAGTCCAGCTGGTGGAGGCTGAACACACCTCAACGCCCGTGAACTAGGCCAGCTAAATGTGGTAGCTGTACATAGTATGGGACACACATCATCACCTAAGGCGCTCCGCCAACATCTTTGGAGACCTTTTCAGGAGCCAGCCACTACACTAACTAAGCAAACTAAGGAACTGGAATTCGAAGATTCCGAACTTCGAAAGCTTGCAAACCAAGCCTCTTCACTGCTTATACAAAATGGCACATAGAGACGCCCCGCATCGCCTGCTCCTGCGTCTACTGAGGTAAGGAAGTCCGTCCCCGCAGTCGATGTCGAAGCTCTTTGCCTGTCTTCTTTCCATATCTCATGCCAACCTCGCACCCACGACCATGTCACACACACACACACACACACACACACACACACACATACACACACATCTCTTACCTCTCCGCGCCACCTTGACAGGAGGGCTCAGGGTGCATATATGCGGGTAGGATGAGGTGGCGGCTAAGGGGTTCAGAGCTTCAGAAAGACAGGCAGTACATCACAGCCATAAATACAAATTAATAGGAGGACAGGACGGAGATGGCCGGCCAACAGGCAGACGGACACATGCACAAGTAGAAGCTGGTGGGTTAGAGCTGTGCAATCTTGTTCATGGCGGCTATAGGGGCAAGCGAATGTGAGAACTCCCGAGCGCGTTGTAGTCGACTTTTAGTCGCTTTTCAGGGGGAGTAGATGTTGAAGTGGCTTTTTTTCGGTTTTTCTGAACTGTCAATAATTAGTGGGGAGGCGCATTGAGTTTTAATGGGCAGGATTCGTGCGAGCGTCCGCTTACCTGACAACCTGTCGAAAACGATCAGCGCAGACATGCACTTGAAGATCCTTAAGGTCCTAAAATGCTTTTCGGGGCATACCGCATAGAAATCATTATTATTATTATTATTATTACTACTACTACTACTACTACTATTACTATTATTATTATTATGCTATTCAGAAACTTCTCCGCGGGACGACACTGCGGAGGACCACGCGGTATGGCTTTGGTACTGGCCTCTGGATCATGCAGTACGGGTCGAAGGACGAACTACGTGTTACAAGTGGGGGGCGCTCTCGGCAATGGGCAGGGAGCGGGAGAGGAGGTAGAAGGGTTGCGCCGGGAAGTCCAATAGAAAGAAGGCAGCACTGTTCCCTTCCCGCTTTGCGTGAGAAATTGTTGTAGTTTGCTGTCTCTCACCGAGGAGGCCTCCAGCAGCTGGCTTTGTGCGGCACGTGGAGACCGATATAGAGCGCGTGTCGGACCCTTTTCGGCGATCGCCAATCATTGCCAACAGCAGCATTCTTTGAAGACGCTTTCGAGTCGTGCGTGCCGTACAAATTTCAGGTTCACATGCTTCCCATCGAGCACCAGAAGCACCTATTTTGACGTACCGCCAGTACGACACGGGACACAGTGCCCTCGTCGAGGCCTATGTGGCGCACTGGCGGTGGTTGCAGCACAGCGGCCCAAACGCCATGTCTCTACAGGCCATTAGAAAGTCCAGCCAGGCCACGTTTCCTTACCTAAATCCATAATTAGTCTTATAAACCCAGCATAGCCGCCTCACCTAAGCAGCAAGCAAGCATGCCGGGAATCTTTCACCCCGTTGGCCCACCCTCATCCTCATGCATCCTGCTATTGTTACGCTGCCCATCCGCATTCTTGCCCGTCCGTCCGTCTGTCTGTCTGTCTGCTTATCCTGCCTGCCTGTCCGTCTGTTAATGCGCCTATGCATCTGTCTGTCTATCTACCTGTGTGTCGGCTGTCGTATCTGTCGTTCGTATCAAGGGGCACTCACAGCGGGCCCCCCCCGGCCCCCCCACCACAGAAGGCACGGCTCCCCCCGTGTACTCTTGGTACACTCTTGCCCTGGCAGCAGCTTCACTCGTTCGTGGTTCGTCTTTCCCCCCCCGCACCGCCCTATCCACGCGTCATCCACAAACCTATCCGATGATGCTCAAATGGGAAGCAGGTCATGCAGTCATGCAGTCCAGCGCCGCCCACCTCACAGAGGCCCCCCCTCCCGATCTTCTCTTTGCTGTGGCGGCTGGTGACCCCACCTGCCGTGCCGTCACGCAAACTCTCTAGGCGTCCTAAACGGCCCCCTCCTCCGTAGGCTGTACGAGGAACTGCACGACAGCGATCTTCGAGTTGTCGTACGTGCGCTGTTCAGGACACCGACGCGGCAGGCGGGGAATATGGCAGCGGCGACAGAGCGATAGGTTGGGACGGG